AGTTCAGTATAGCTTTGGTTCAACTAGGGAAAAACTGATATCACCACGTTCTGCAGTTTGAAAATCAGGCAGTTGTATGGTTTACACTCTAGTGATTGAGAAAGAGGATGATGACCAGAAAGCAGTCTGATAATCAGGCCTTTATTCTGAAAAGCAAATTTTAGAATTTCTCCTGGGATATTTTGGCTTTTACCAATATCTAAACTTTACATTGTAGAGTGATAATTTCTGGTGAGTCTTAGGATATGTAGAAAAAGTTTTTGTGATTATTACAATGTGCTTAAATTTTATTTTGGAGGATTTTAATAAAGGTTGAAGCAAAAATTGTTGTACTTGAAAAAGCAATTCTTAAAATGTGTATCAGGTATCCCTTCATAAATATTTAACTTTAAAAATTTTTAAGAATTTTTTTGAAAGAGAGCTCTTTAATCTCCTGGTTGGTTCACTTCTGAAGTGCCTGCAACAGCTAGGGCCAGGCAGAAGGCAGGAGCCCAGAACTCAATCTAGATCTCACACAGGGTGGTAGGGACCCAAACATTTGTATCATCACTGCTGCTTCCCAGGGTGCACATTAGCAGAAAGTTGGAAATGGAGCTGGGACTTGAGCCTAGATACTCTGTATGGAATGCAGGCATCCCAAGCATCAGAAGATGTAAGGATTTATTTATGTAATTGAAAGACAGACTTACAGAAAGAGAAGGAGAGAGAGAGCTTCAGTCTGTTGGTTCATTCCTCAAATGGCAGCAATGACTGGACTGGGCCAGGCCAAAGCTGGGAACCAGGAACTTCTTCCAGATCTCCCACCTGGGTGCAGGGGCCCAAGGGCATAGGCCGTCTTCTGCTGCTTTCCAAGGCACATTAGCAGGGAGCTGGATCAGAAGCGGAGTAGTCGAGACTTGAACCGGTGCCCATATGGGATAAAGGCATCGCTGGCTGTGGTTTTAACCTGCTGTTCCATAGCACCGTCCCACCCCACTCCACCCCACCCCAGCTGTGACAAATGTCTGACCCCTCCCTAAGTACTTTAATGAATTGAGGTTCTGCTGCACACAGGCGGCTAGTTATTGGAAGCTATTTTCCATCTTCCTTATTTCCCAGGTCCTGTTGTGTTTGCCTTAGTAATACCTTTTAGATTTGCCAGTTTATTCTAGGTGGTAATTAATGATTTCATTTAGGTCATCATCATCTCTCACCTAGACTTTTTGTAGAATCTTCTGACTAGACTCTGTCACTGGACACTTCTTGCCCATCTTGTGTATCCAAATCAAATCTGACTTTACTCCTATGCTTCAAAAATCTGTTCTGGCTTCCTGTTGCCAGAGTCCAACTGCCTGGAATATTCTTCAGGGTATTTCATAAACTAATCCTAATTTATCTCTCCTGAGTCTGTAATCAGCTCCAGGTGCTTTACCAGAGGCATCCACTTTGAACTGCTTCACATTTAGAACATGCCGTGGCCTCTCAGTTGTCTGTTCACGCAGTCTTTCCCTCAGTTAGGTTACCCCATGTGTTTAGCATACTTAACATATAACTTAATGACAGCTCCTGTGTTCTGGTTATTTACCTGGAGGTGTTGACTTCATGGAAGAAACTCTAAGACTGTAGTTCTGTCTCTCCCTTTTTGTTAATAGTGGAAGGGAACAGTCTCAGAGAAGCCAGAGACTTAACTCAGTCACACAGCTGTAGACCTGAAAAACTAGGACCAGAGCCCACATGACACTTGCTTTTTTTTTTTTTTAATTTTTTTTTTTTTATTTGACAGATAGAGACAGAGAGAAAGGTCTTCCTTCCATTGGTTCACACCTCCCCCCACCCCCAAATGGCCACTACAGCTGGAGCTACGCCGATCCAAAGCCAGGAGCCAGTTGCTTCTTCCTGGTCTCCCATGTAGGTGTAGGGGCCCAAGGACTTGAGCCATCTGCTGCTGCTTTCCCGGGCCACAGCAGAGAGCTGGATCAGAAGAGGAGCACCTGGGACTATAAGTCTTTTGGTACTAATTGTCCATCGGTCTGATTAGTTTATCATGCCGCACTCACCCCACCCCCGCCCACGGGTGTTTATTTTTCAGTTTGTTTTATTTTGCTATACAGAGAGAACCAGTTTGTTTTTTTAAAATCTTTTATGATGAAATTCTCAAGCATTATGCTATGAGAATTCTGTAGCTATTTCAAAACTTGAACTCAATTTAAGGATTCACATGTTTAATATAAATTTTTCCTGGCATATATATAGAGAGCAAATTTCCAGGAAACTTATCTGAAATTTTTATATTTGGTGACTACTTAAAAATAGGCTTTCCAAATGCTGTTAATTTGAAGCTAGGGAAATGGAAGAAATGTGTTTTTTCATCCTGTACTATTAACACACTCAGTTTATTTAGATCCTGAAATGACTTAACCTATGACATAGAAGAAAGATTGCAAATGGCCAGGCTGGTTTAAAGAAAATCACATGGTCAAACAGTGCATTGTTAGGTGGTGTGGTGGAGTAGGTGTTTTTGTTCTTCATGAAATTACTTTCTTGAATGTTGAGTCATGATCATGTTTTTGGCAGGAAGGATGTGGGAGAAACAACTTCAGTACTCCATTTTACTGGCGAGTTTTCTTCAGCATTTCATTTATTCCAGTGATTGCTAAGTTTTAAGTGCATGTTTACTAGCATGTGGTGTACCTTTATGCGATGTGAATTTGTGATGCTGCATTTTATTTGAATAAGAGATCATGAAGAAGAATCAGTTGCACTAGCAGTTATGCTAAGGCCTGTGAAGTCCATCAGTTTTAGCATTTGGTATTTGTACCTGATTCCTGTTGGCTAAAGCAGCTCATTTTTGTCATATTTATGTATGAGCAAGTCAGATTTGGTGTGTGTGTGTGTGTTTAACAGAAACTTAACATTGTGTATAAATGGTTTTCTTTTTGAAGATAAAAGATATTCTGATTTTTCAAAGAGCTAATATATGTTCCCAAATCAGATTTTTCTATGGGGAAAAAAGCCTTGCTTTATGTTGTTTGGCTCTTTGTCAAAATAACAAATATAATTTCCCTTTTGTGGTTCAGTTATAATACCCAGTACTTTTCTGAACATCTCATATTGGAACTGTTTTTCTGATCTGTTTTCCAGACTGTGTCTTACCATTTGTTTGATCTATTACTCATACCATTTTTATTGCCATTATCTATTATCTTCTTTAGAGTTCATCACTTTACTGTTGATGATCTTTCTTTAAAGAGATATTTAATTACAGTTTAACTTATACATATATCCTTTTCTTGATTGTACATCTCTGAAAATTGCATGTGGTTTATATAGTATTATCTGCTTATTTGTTCATTTTGTTTTTATGTTAGGCACTGCATGAGGCTGGAGGATATAGTGGTGAATCCTGATTATCTAAAGCTCCAAATTAAAAGGAGGAAATAGGATATTTGCCATTGTGTTACTTTACACATACTGTTCATCTAACACCATTGGATGTTTATTATTCTACCTTATCTTACAGATAAGGAAATGGAGGCAGAGAAAATAACCTGGCTAGATTACACAGGTAATTTGTTAGGAAGTTGTAGATTCATTACTTAAAAGTAGATCAGTCTTTGGAGCTTGTTCTCATTTTCATTCAGTTGTTCCTTCGGGCAATTTTCAGATTATATTTTGGTGCCCTTATGTCATGAACTTTTTAAAATATTGTGATTCAATAGAAAAGTATAATGGATTTGAAGTCAGAGGATTAGATTGAAATTCCATTTTTTAAAAATCAGAATGATTTGTATAATCACTTAAAATAGAATGAGTATCACCTTTACTGAGTTGTGATTGTGAAATGAGGAAACAACAGTATCTAGCAGAATACCTGATACTTTAAAAAAAAAGTTTAACTTTTATTAGGCATCCTTGGTGAATTCATGGTATATTAAGCAAGCATACTTGCTCAGAATTACAGAAAATGGCCGCTGACATTGTGGCATAGCAGTTAAAGCAACAGCCTGCAACACTGGCATCCAATATGAGTGCCAGTTTGTGTCCCAACTGCTCCACTTCCAACCTACCTCCCTCCTAATATCCTAGGTAAAGCAGTGGAAGATGGCCCAAGTGTTTGGGTCTCTGCCACCCATGTGGGAGACCGAGATGAAGCTCCTGGCTCCTGGCTTTAGCCTGGCCCAGCCTTAGCCATTATAGCCAATGCCATTTGGGGAGTGAACCAGCAGATGGAGATCTCTCTTTCTTTCTCTGTCTCTGCATCTCTCTGTGTAACCCTGACTTTCACGTAAATAAATACGTCTTTGAAAAAATTATGGAAAAAGATTTATTTTTAGGGCATTCTTGTGGTACCTGGCAATTGTCGACAAGATGGGTTATAGCAACTATATTGACACTAGAGAACCTAATTTGGAACCTTACATTATCAGAACATTACTTTAAATAGAAAATACCTTCCTGAAGGTACAGTGTAGAGAAAAGGTTCAATGTGAGGTTCAATTGTATGGGCATTTTTGAATTGATAATCTTCACACAAAAGGACTCGGTGGTTGAGTATTCTTTAGAATTAGAAATAGGTAAAAACTCTTAACGTCAGAACTTCTCTGTGTCTGCAAGTTCTGTTCTTCCTTTAACTAAACCACAGGGATAATAGGGATTTTAAATATTTCTAGATTTTTAGTAATCCAAAGAAATTACAGATTAGTATGCCTCATATAAAAGCATGGTCTTATTAATATTTTGGTTTCCTTATACTTTTTTCATCATTAAACCAATTTTCAAGTCATTTGGCAGGGAAACAAAATGGTGTCATTTCTCTAAAAGCTTGACTTGCTAACTTAAATTTCTTAGAACTTCATTAAATTTGGCGTAATTTTTTTTAACTTGCCACTTGCTCGTCATATACCTACTTTTCCTCTGTATAGTTAACAGATATTTCTCTTATTATTCCTTTACTTGATTATTGATGTCAGACTCACAGTATGGTAACTTTATATTCTTTCTTTTCCTTACCTTTATGGAAGATCAGTACTACACTTGCTTTTTTCCAGTCTTCTGGTATCTCTCCAGTTCTTGAATTTTCAAAAATAATTGTAAGTGATTGAATTGTAAGTATGCCCTATACTCCCATTGAATGAAACTTATCTGTGATGCATGTCATCTCCAATTATTAATTGTGATCATAAACTTTCCAAATATGCTCATATTTTAATCAAAATGACATTTCCTGCACAATTTTCATTGCTTTAATTATAGGGTGTATGTTTCACTATTTTAAAAAAAATTCTTTTTTTTTCATGTTCATAACATGTATTTTTCACTAGGAAAATTGTTTTCTTTCATGTTTTCCTGTTAAATTTTGAAGTTATCCTGTTTTACAGCCCTGCTACTGATAACTTACCCTATTATTAGTCTAAATTTTTCTGTGCGACTTACATAAAACAATTTATTTTTATTTTCTTTTTGTATATATTTTTATTGTATACTATTTTGTCTTTTATAAGAGAAGGTACTACACATAAGGTACTTAATCCTTTAAGTTTTGCCTGTGAAATAAGATTGGATGTAAAAATAATACTCATTTGTTAATTTCTTTTTTCATTTGTTAATTTCTTTATTACTCAGCCTTTCTGCTCTTTCTTAGTTCCTCATGTCACCCATAAAGTTCATAATTTCCTGATTCTGATCTCAAGAAGACCTTAAACCACCTTTACCTTCACTATTCATTCCTTTTCCTCTTTTAGCAGGGAATTACTTTAAAAGGTCTTACTCCTTTCCTCAAAAGCTGCTTCCTATGCTGCTTTCACTGAAGGCATGTTTCTCCAGATCAACTAGAATTCCTATATACTTTAAGCAGTTTAAGGATTTCTCCTTTTAGTATTCTTTTTTTTTTTAATGAGCATGAAATAGATATGCAACGATTAGTGTCCCAACTGAAGTCATAAGTAGGAATTTATTTGGTTTTGCTGCCATTAGTTAGCCTATAAGTGCCTGCTAAATAGAGAAAAGTGGTCCTATTTAACATTAGATATTAGGAAGATAGTAGGAAGTACTGACATAGCTTTGAGGCAGTTCAGTTTTCTAACATTCTAGATTCTATTTTAGGAAATTCCTTTAAACCAGATGTATTCCTCTTTATTAAATTACATATGTAGATTCTGGTATAGAATTATACGTTCCTGTGCTTGAGTTTACCTTCTTTTGCTTTATTAGCAAAGTTCGCTTGACACATAGAGACTATTTTATTTTATTTTTTTGACAGGCAGAGTGGACAGTGAGAGAGAGAGAGACAGAGAGAAAGGTCTTCCTTTGCCGTTGGTTCACCCTCCAATGGCCGCCGCAGCCGGTGCGCTGCAGCCGGTGAACTGCGCTGATCCAAAGGCAGGAACCAGGTGCTTCTCCTGGTCTCCCATGCGGGTGCAGGGCCCAATACTTGGGCCATCCTCCACTGCACTCCCTGGCCACAGCAGAGAGCTGGCCTGGAAGAGGGGCAACCGGGACAGAATCTGGCGCCCTGACCGGGTCTAGAACCCGGTGTGCTGGTGCTGCTAGGCGGAGGATTAGCCTATTGAGCCACGGCGCCGGTTGAGACCATTTTATTTTTAACATAGTGAGTGCATAGAGAACCGCCCCCACCTGCTCCTGTACTGGTTCATTCTCCAGACACCTGCAACAACTGGAACTGGGCTGGACTGAAGTTTGAGCAGGGAACTCAGTCCAGGTCTCCCATATGAGTGGCAGGGACCCAATTACTTGAGTCATCACATGCTGCCTCCCAGGGTCTGCATTAGCAGAAAGCTGGAGTCAGGAGCTACAGCTGGGTATTGAACCCAAGTGCCCTGATGTGGGACATGGGCATCTTAACCGCTACACTAAACAACTGTCCTATAGATATGTGATTTTCTTGGTTAGATTGAGGTTTAATTTCTATTGAGATTTTTCTAAGTTAATTTCTTATTATGTTGCATACCTTTTTTCTTTATTTATAATTGTTAGATTTAACTTAAACTTCAGATGAATTCATACAGAACTGTAGCACATCAGTATCATCAGTTAGGAAACAGCAGCCACTGTGGTCCTGATTGCTAACAATGCAGGATAATTACTGAAGTTCATGGATGAAAGAGAAGGAAAGATGCAGAGAAAAGGACAGTAGAGAAAGGAGACAGGGAGCAGAGAAAGGGAAGAAGAAAGAGCACAAGAGCAAAAGAAATCTAGGGAGAAGCAGCCATAGCAGGACTGGTGTGTTAGCATCAGTGATGCCAGATACTGCAGCCAGTACCACTTGCATTTGTTCAACACTGAGCTAGCACTGAGGGTATATAAATGGTGCAGTTCCAGCCCTCATGGAATTTGTAATCCCTCAGAAAAGTCAATCATTAATATATAATTATGATAAAGTATAATAAATGTTAGGGCAAATACAAAGGACTGGAATGTGTATCTTCTCGACTCCCACCCTACTTGTTCTCAAGAGCTACTGTAGGAAGTATGAAGTCACACTGTCTTAAAGGGTCTGCCCTGTTCTCAGTTCTTTTCAGAGGAAGACAAACCATCCTCAGCATGGTAAAAGACTGTATTCTTAGTCCCGCTTAAAAACAAAACTCCATCAGAAAAGGGTTAATAGGAGTAGATGTACTGCCATAGTGTTCTAAATGTTGAATGGAAGGAGGAACAATTAATACTTTCAGAGAATTTTTATGAAATAGTCTCCATCATCTCGTGAGACACTCAAGCAAAGACCAGATGAATTTCCAAGAAGTTGTAGAAATAATTTCTGTAAGTTAGAAATTAGAATAGGTGATTGATATATAGTGAAACTGTGGTACTTCATTTTAGTACATTATTTTTACTAGATTTGAGAAAACAGTCGAATTATCTGTCTTATTGACATCTCTGTACATGTTATTTTATTGATTGCAGTTGGTTAAATTATACTCAGATATGCAGATCTCTTTAAGGACATAAAAATTTGTGGATTACTGTGTGAGGGAGGTTAGGCCAGTTTGGGGGTTCTTAGTTGATATCATATTGGCAAGTAGAATTTTGGCTTAGACATTGTGAAATGTGGAGTGTATTCTAAGGGTAAAGGAAAGTTGTGGAAAGAGTCAGGTCTTAGAGGAGAGAGCCCAGGTGAGATTCAGATGATTTTATCAGTATTAAAGGACTTGAAGAATTAATTTAAGTGAGGTCAAATTGCATAATGTAAATCTAATTTGTTTTTATTTATTCACTGAAGATTTTTTAATTGGATGATGATTTGTTCAAAAAGATATATTGGCAATTTTTTATAGTGGTAGTTCTAAGTGGATTCAAAAGAGAAATTGTTTAAGATTACTTTTCCTGTCTAACCTCAATGCTTTACCTTTTATTCATTTATGGAGGTACTTTGACCTTTTTAATTATTTAGCTGATTTTAACTGGAAGGTGATAATTAAATGTCTGGTAATTATATTAGAACAGTCTAAAACAAAAGAAAACTAAGCCACACAGTCCTGATACCTCTGTGGCATAATAACAAGGGAAGAAATTGCTCCCTTCTTGTATAGTGTAGTAATATGGTGTCTGTGAAATGGTATGTGATTATCCTTCTTTTCACCTACAACATCCTTTGTTTTCATCCTCTGCAAGTGAAATGTTTCTAATAGGAAGTCCTTTGAGATCTCTTTTAAAAATGAAGACATTTAACTACAATTTTATGAACATGTACTGTATATGATTATTATGATCTTTCTTTCTTAAACTTTGTTTTAAAACGTAATGTCTCGCCGGTGCCGTGGCTCAATAGGCTAATCCTCCGCCTTGCAGCGCCGTTACACCGGGTTCTAGTCCCGGTTGGGGCACCGGATTCTTTCCCGGTTGCCCATCTTCCAGACCAGCTCTCTGCTGTGGCCAGGGAGTGCAGTGGAGGATGGCCCAAGTCCTTGGGCCCTGCACCCATGGGAGACCAGGATAAGCACCTGGCTCCTGCCATCGGATCAATGCGGTGCGCCGGCTGCAGCGCACCGGCTGCGGCGGCCATTGGAGGGTGAACCAATGGCAAAGGAAGACCTTTCTCTCTGTCTCTCTCTCTCACTGTGCACTCTGCCTGTCAAAACAAACAAACAAACAAAAAAACGTAATGTCTCTTGAGGCTGGCGCTGTGGCAAAGTGGATAAAGCTGCCTCCTGCAGTGCCAGCATCCCCTATGGGTGCCAGTTTGAGACCCAGCTACTCCTCTTCCTATCCAGTTCTCTGCTATGGCCTGGGAAGGCAGTAGAGGCTTGCTCAAGTAGTAGTTGCTTGCTCAAGTAGTAGTTGCTCTACTAATAATAGTAGTAGGACAATTCCTGTGTTTGTCAGGGAAGAAAATAGAAGTTTAGAGAGCCACAGCTTGTTAGTCATTGAGCTGGTATTAGAAACCAGGTTTTGCCAGTCCATTGTTCTGTAATAATACCTTAGTATTTCTTTTTTCTTTTTTAAGATTTGTTTATTTGAAAGGCAGAATTACAGGGAGAGAGGGAGAGAGAAAATCTTCGATCCACTGGCTTACTTTCCAAATAGCTGCAACAGCAGGGACTGGGTCAGGCCTGAGCCAGGAGCTTCATCTGAATGGCAGGGGCCCAGGTACTTGGACCATCTTCCTGCTGCTTTCCCAGGGGCTTTGGCAGGGAGCTGCATCAGAAGTGGAGCATCCAGGAACCCACTGTGCCACAACATTGCCCCCTATATCTTACCATTTCAATTTGGTGTTTTGAGATAATGGCTTTATAATGACAAAGTATGTAAAGATCAGGTGTTGCTGCTATATAAAATGAACTTTTGGCCTCAGTTTACTAAAATGGGGAATGGAAAAATGATCAGCAGTCTTTGACCAAAGGCAGGGAAGTTAAAATGAATTGAAAGTCATTTGAGGCCGGGGCCGCGGCTCACTAGGCTAATCCTCCGCCTTGCGGCGCCGGCACACCGGGTTCTAGTCCCGGTCAGGGCGCCGGATTCTGTCCTGGTTGCCCCTCTTCCAGGCCAGCTCTCTGCTGTGGCCAAGGAGTGCAGTGGAGGATGGCCCAGGTGCTTGGGCCCTGCACCCCAGGGGAGACCAGGAAAAGCACCTGGCTCCTGGCTCCTGCCATCGGATCAGCGCGGTGCGCCGGCCGCAGCGCGCTGGCCGCGCAGCCATTGGAGGGTGAACCAACGCAAAGGAAGACCTTTCTCTCTGTCTCTCTCTCTCACTGTCCACTCTGCTGTCAAAAAAAAAAAAAAAAAAAAGTGAGGAGCTGCAACTTATTCAGCACTCAGGGAAAACCTTTGTCACAGGGGGGGGGGCTAAACCCACTGCACCCAAAATGCCGACCCAATTTCTGTGTATCCCCTCTCCGGCTTCCCCAAATAAAAAAATAACAAATCGCCTGGCTATCATGCATGGGAGGGAAGTTTGAAGTCTGGAGAGGGGTGTGTATTGTTTTCCTCCCTCAAAAAAATTTTCAGTATCTTCGGGGATTTTATATGTATCAGTCAAAAATTTTTGAATGTTTTTGTGTTGTTTGCCCCCAACCCCTGAAGCCATAAAGATATTCCATAACATTTTTA